AATATAAATTAAATTATGATTATATTTAATGAGTATGTATTATATTTTTAAGTATAAAAGATTTAATTAGAAAATAGTTTTTTGAAATATACACAGGCAATAGAGAAGATTCCGACCGCGTAAAATTATTTAAAGAGACTGAGCTCTTTTCTAAGCAGGATGAACAATTGCCATTGTTGCAGGCCAGTCTGTTCGAAGCTTCCGAGAGAGAAGGCGCAGACAGTATTATTAAGGCGCAGTCACCGTCTCAGCAGGGTGACGCCTGGAGATGCACCTGTTAGTTCGGATAATCATCGAAAGTCTATTCGGTTGGGGACTTCGACGGCAGCCAGGTATTAAACCCAGGATGCGTAGCTTGCACGAAAAGGGACGCTGGTTTCTATACCTGTACATACGCAACGCGGCCAACGATCATCAGTCGTCGAAAAACGGAGATCGACCTGGACGCGAGAATGGTGTTTGTATACATCTTGCGCGGGCGAATTGCCCGGGCAAGTGTTCGCGAGACTACTACACACCATCTTGCAATAATCGCAACGGATATTATAGATATTATCTCGTAAACTCTGCACCCTCTATTACAAGCGAGAGCCGAATAACGTTAACGCGACGCGAAAATGAAACGAATGATCCACTATGATCGTGAATCAATCCACGCGTGATCATCGTCACGATCCGCACGAGACGTCACGAGACGTCATTCGACGCAAGCTCTCACGCTCTGAATCATTCGGACACATACACACATACATATATACATTACAGTTAAGTTCGAGCCAGATTTGCGAAGTTGTCGCGAAGTTTATCTATGATATGCGATTATACGTCGTAGATGTCTACTTATAGAAATATGAGTCACGCTCACGCGAATGTAGAGACTCGGCAAAACTCTCGCTAAATGCCTGAACGCATCGTCGAGGAACGCGAGGACGAACAATTTGATTGATGATGGGCCGGTTTCATCGGTTAACTTACAAACGAATAGATGATCTTTTATTCCACGCGAGTTCGGCGTCAATTCGAAAGCGCGTGATACGTCAGGGGAAGGATCAGCTGAGAGAGAAAAGACTACAGCTGAGTATTATGAAAGAGAATCGATCCAAGGATTAAAAGATTCGAAGATTTCGTTTACGAATAAATTTCATGTAATCTCGATGTTATAAATTTGTGTAGATCGGACGCGAAGAATCGTATATCAGGCAGTTTAAAAATGTTCGATTAGATTCACTTGGCGTATCGATAAGGCCTAACTTGGGGAAGGAAAATATCCTCTCGATGCTACTAAGGCGACATTACACATTTTTGCAGTAATCGACGTATTACTATATTATTAGTATGTCTACGCGAAGAAGACATCATCAAGCGCATTGTGATTACTGTCTGAAAACGACGCTACTATACGAGACTCGCGATTACTACTGTTGTCTCTTGACGAGGACCAGGGCCCTTCCTTTAACGGAAGGACTTGCGCGATTATGTCGGGTTCATTTGATGCACAGATGCCAAAGTTCGCAAAATAAGTGTTTCCTTGTATGTCGCGAGCATATACATATAGCAGATATTGACAAGCAAATTAGGAAGAATAGCATTCGTTTTAATATCAAAGCATGTGAATATAATCTCTTTGAATAACATATAATTCAAAAAAGATTTTAAGAAGAATTAAACGTAAATAATAAAAATCTTATTTTGATCTAATCTCAAGATTATAAAGATATTTCACGTTGGCAATGATAAACTGAAAGTAAAAACACGAGTCTTGGAGGAAAATATTTAAAAAAGTATTCTGATGATCTTAATATTATGTTTGATCAAGTATGCCAGAGACGCGATTTATTGCATTACTGTACGCAGAACTTTTTTTAAGAGAGAAGGTGAAATTAACTGTTTCTATATTCATAAAAAAAGATTGTTCTCTCTCTCTCTCTCTCTTTCAGCCTTAAATAAAAATAACATAGCGTAAAAGCGTGCTATTTATATCTTAAAAAACCGCCGTGTTATTTTTATTCGTGTGTTCATTAAAAATGATATTTTCAGATACTGAAGTGAAACAAAATCTCGAAACGAGGCCAAATCGATATCGACAAGAGCACTTGACATCTGTATATCAAATCTTTCATATCGATATGTACACGTACGTGATAAACCATGCTTAATTGATCCGTTTTGATAATCGTAATGGAGCACATTTTCGGCGATCTATCTTATGTTCGATGTGTGTGAATGGCGTTTTTTGCAATGCATTCTGCTATAGAATGTCGGTGCACCAATCCTGTTTCGTATAAAAAAATTAAGGATGAGCACTTTAATAGCATTCTTAATAGCATTTTTTCACAGGCCATATGTACGGCCGGAGGGGAGGATAAAGGCCGCGAAAGATTAGATTAGCTGTCATATAACACTGCTACAATATGCGCACATTTTAACACGCGGAGCGTAAATTATATTCGCGCGCGATTAAATTGACAGAACCTTATAATTTGAAAAAGGTCGAGAGAGAGCTGTTTTATATAAATACATAAATTTCTTGATTTTGGATTTATATATATAAATTTTTCGTACGACACTTTTTTTACTTGCAAGACAGATTTATTGAACTTGCGTTATAGCCAGTGTAGGATTGAAGGATTAATCGGATAAAATTTTACCGAAGATGTAGTATAATTAAGAATATATATTAGATATATATATATATAATGACATATAATTGTTTCAATAACCGGAGACAGGAAAGTAAATTATAGGGCATTTTTTATTTAAGATCCGATTTAACTTTTTCAATCTTATTTTTTATATTGTTTAGAGAGTTATCAGTATTTATTATGATATAGAGAAGCGCACAATCTTTTCTGACAAACGTAGAAATCATCTCTTCGTTCTTTTGACGAGATCACTTTCATCATTCGCACATCTCGTTTACGCTGACAGAAAGACAAAAGCCTTTATTGTGCCTATCAATGATTAAGAAGAAGGATAAAGAACGAGATGAGAAAAGAAGATGGTGATATATTATATGAGATATCGTACGGAAATCGCTTTATGATCGATCGGAACAAATTATGAGTTGGTAATTATAAGACGATATTGGTGCTCCTCGATCGAAGTTCCAATTAAAGTCTCACTTTAGTAACATCTCTGAGGACTTTGCACTCTTGGGATCACATGAGAATCGACGGATACTTTCGCGATACTTTTTTTTTTCTTTTTTCTTTATAGTATAGTCTCAAAAATCAAGTCTCTCGTCTCTTATAGCGAACGGCGATTTTCACCGCTGTGATTTCTGATTTATGTAAACAACAATCGTTGCGTATCATCGCCAATCTCATATTCACGTTCGTTGCAATTCGAAATTGCATTGCGAGTGGCAATCCCGTAGTATGCATTACTAACGGTATACCGTTTTGCTGATGCAGTATTAAGAGCGCCAGTAAAACTTTGCGAAAACCCACTTTCTCGCGCTTTTCGCACGCTTGCTGGCACGTTCGCGAATTGCATCGCGACAGTTGATCGAATCTAAAGTGCGTGCACGCACTTGACGAGAAATGCATTATATCTGTCGCGATCGATCGACATCGCAGCGACGATGCTAATGAAAAAAAAAAAACGAGGTTACTTTACGAATTGCGCTCGTTAACGAATTAGCGATCGACACGATACGATTTGTTTTTTTTTTTTTCAGCCGTATCCTAAACGTAATAGTTATGGCATAGGCTTTGTACCATTTGCACAAGACGATACATACTAAAAATATATAAATTATATATATATACATACATATTATATATATACATAATGGTATATATATATTTGTTGCTTTTATATATTTATAAATCGCGGCATATTTGTATAAAAACATTACGGAATTTAATTATCTTGCCTGCTAAGCAGCATGCGCGTACTTTAATTAGCGCACGGTTTCCCAAATTAAATGTAAACGAGAATTAAATTTTTCAGTGTTTATTTTTCACAGATCTGAAATGTATAACGGGGCATACAAAAACGACAAAATTAAAATATTTTAGCTATTTTTAATGAGAGATTTCATTGCGATTTAAATTTCTTTTAAATATCAGAGAACGTAGCTATCGAACGATTGTGACAAAGTTTAAATATCTCAATTCAACCGTGAAAGTTTCAAATAAATAAATGTTTATATTGTTGTCTGATGGACCTATATATGATTTTTTACAGTTTGGGAAACCTTGAATTAGCGGAAATTAGATACAATTAGGAAGAAATCAGAATGTTGAGTGAGCGCTGTTCTAGTCAACTCACCTTTTTTGGATGCGCGCGTGATTTGTCAGGACTGTCGTTAATTTTTGTTTCGTAGACCGTCTGTGGCGAGGAGAAGCCCTCATATATTTTGATATTATTCTCGATCCTCCTGAAAAAAAATGTATTTTTTAGTCGAAAGCGATGCAAAAAAAACAAAGAAGGCCGAAATAGATCTTTCACGTAAATGATCGAATGAAATAAAATCAGCGGCGCAAAATCACATTCGGCTATTGAGTTTCGATTAATATGCAAATGTACGAGTGTGTTTGTTTCTCGTGAGAAATATGGAAAGGAAATAATAGAGAGTAAAAAAAAGGAAGTCAATTTTGAAAACACGGTGTCGCCCACGTGAACGGTAGAGTCGCTTGTATGAATTTTTTTTTTAAGGGACGCTGGTTCGTTTGCCTTCATTGAAATGCTTGATTTCTCATCCGAAGCTGGTCTTCGGCTGAAAAGTCTTTCGGAAGAGAAGTTTTTATACGACTTAGTTGATGCCTGCCACGTATGTGCCCGCGCGTGCAACGCTGTAACTAGTGTTTTTTTTTTTATATCGCGAGTGCAAGTGTGTTTTATTATTTATTTCACATCTTGTTCTTGAGATTCGGAGTTTATTCGCTTTGTATTCGCGCAGATCTTTCGTTTATTGTTAGATTTATAATTTCTCGATGTCATAAATCTCTACGAATTTCTAGAGAATTCTGTTTTATAAATTTTTAAATTCTGAATCATACAATTGTAGTTATATCTTTAATTTTATTTTATATTCTAGTTATGGCTCTGCAAATATTCGTAGCTCTCGATTTTCAACGATCTTGCAATTTTCAACGATACGATGAAAGTTTCTCGATAGAAATCAGCTATGTTTTTGTTACAAACTCTGTTAAGATATATAGAGATAGAATATGGATTGTGTGATCGGGCAAACAGTTCTGGTTGCCAAATTTTATGCTTCACAAAATAAAATGATCTTTACCATAAAGTTTTTAAAACTTGCTATATTAATGCTTGAATTAAAGTTTTTAGAACTTGCTATATTAATGCTTAAATTAAACTAAATTAAAAATCTAATATTTTTTATTTTATGCATACACAATCTTTTTTTACAATTTTGTAGAATAAAATTTCTCCAAACACAAGGAAACGCTTTGCCCGATCACGGAGGAAATAATGGCAAATATGTTAAACGTATGACATAATAACACAGCTTTTACAACATTTCATTTGTCATTACATCACCTCACCCTCAATAACGAGCATCATGTTATGTAATTTAATTCCACCTTCGCGATCGATTATCTAAATGTGTAAGTGTATAAGTTTTTAAGTTTGTAGAAACAACTTGTTCAACTCGATGTCTGAATCAATAATATAAATAAAAATACACACTTTTTACCTACAATATGTGCGCTTATTCTCTTTTTATAACAAGAATGATCAAGAATAATACGGTACATTAAAAAAACAGAAATGTTAAAATTTAATTCTCGAATGTTAATTTTATATAATTTTTTCCAAGTGTGTTACGTGTTCCAAGTGTATTACACGAATCGTCCGTAACTGCACACGTCGCGACCTATACTCAGGTATTCGCCATGCGTTGCCAAGACATGATAGTCTTTGGCGATAAGACCCAAACGATTACCGGAGTGAATCAGCGAGTTGAAAGAGATAGAGAAGACGAGACCGAACCGTTTTCCAGCTGAGCGCTCACGTTGAATCGCACACCGATACGCATTAGAAAGCTGGAACACTTCTGTCTTCTTGTTGACAGGTACGTATGTGCACGCATTGTGTCGCCGGTGATTTCTTTCTTCGAATATGGATCAAGCTTGATCATGAGTCCGCGCATCGTCACGTTGACGAGTTGACCGACATGTGTCAGTGGATTATCACGCCATTCGTCAATTGCGCCTGTAAATATACAAAATGTGTAAATAGTGTATATATCGCGCGTCATTTCAAAATCATAATCGTGTATTAAATAATGGGATATTAAATGAGAGATCGCAATCAAAAATCGACAGCAAAAAATAGTTGAGAAATAATATATAATATAATATAATATAATATAATAAAAACAAACGCTATTTATAAAAAAGATAATATTTTACGAGGTGTTTTAATAATCTTTCGAACATCATTTAAATTATCAATCGTATATCATGGGGGATTTCTCCGACCGTTTGCAAAGTGGTGGTAATATGGGATATACATACGGTACGTACGCATCTTTGACCGATGAAGCTTGAAGCACGTGCGTATTTTACATGCCGTGACACGCATTACGATACGCGTCCATTCAAACGAGTGCGTCATATGCGTCTCGCGTCTCACGTACAGATGAGCGTGAGATGCGTCCCGCGCAAGCGCCTGAAGATGTTTAAAAAATCTGGCCGCTCAAACATTGAGAATCTAGTTACGTACAATCGAAAGTGAAAACTCCTCCGGAAACCACTCTTCCTTAAGTTTCGAGCAAACTTTGCACCAATGGATCTCAACTCAAGGTCGAAACACAATGTCATCGTAAAATTAAGAAACCAACCCTTTCAAATCTTGCAAAAATCTACAAACCGCGCACTGCGATCCGCGACATGCGACACTCATTCCACCGAACATGGCGGCCTCCTTAGTTTACTGTTGCCACGACAGGTGGCGCGCGCGCGCATGCGCGCGAGCTTTGCCCGAAGATCGCCCCCCCGAGCGCAAGATGGCCGAAGTGACAGATACGGGGAGCTGTCAACCGTACCCGGGATCCGCCTAAATTCTGAGCGTCGCGGCCGAACCGCGCGTTCGCATCGCGTTGCGTTGCGTTGCATTACGATGCGTACGTACGCGAAATCCTCTCGGGTCTGTCCGTCTGTCAGAAACGCATCGAGACAATACGACGAGAACGCGCATCGCGTCGTGACTCGTACGTAGATACATACGCGTACGTGTGTTACGTTCGCTCGCGTGCGACCTGCTTTTTTCACGCGAGCTCTCGCACAGTTCCTCGACTCGGCTTTCGCCGAGTATCATCGTTTCTCTTCTCGCGTCGGTTGACCGTGACATCGGCAACGAATCCGATCGAACTCGTCGCATGGTGAGGCAAGTGTGCTGTGTTTGTCCATAGGTATAACTCCGTGTGCCGTTTTCGAGCATGGAGGCGATAGTGGAATATAATTATGTGGCGCAAGAGGACGATGAGTTGACGCTGAAGAAGGGTGACATCATCACCGAGATTAGGATGATGCTCGGCGGATGGTGGGAGGGCACCCTGAGGGACAAGCGCGGCATGTTTCCTGATAATTTCGTTAAGGTATTGCATGGTTGAATCTTGCGTTTATTATCTATATGCATATTTATCTATTTTAATGTAAAAATATCCAATGTATATAGGTATTGGACCCTTCTACAACTGATAATGGAACTAGCGGCAGCACTAGCGAGACTGTAAATAATACTAAATATGATGAAGTTACATTGAGAAACGGATCTGGTAGACGCTTCTGCAAAGTCCTCTTCAGTTATGAACCTTGTAACGAGGATGAGCTAGCTTTAGCACCGCAAGATTCGATAGAATTCCTAGGAGAGGTGGAGGAAGGATGGTGGAGGGGTCGTCTCAAAGGTAGAGTCGGCGTATTTCCCTCAAACTTTGTTTCTGCACCTGCACCTGAAGAACAAGAGAGGCACAAAGAGCGAGACAAAAAGGAAATATGTAGGGTACTATTCCCTTATGAGGCTGCTAATGAAGATGAACTCACCCTGGTTGAGGGAGATATAATTACACTTTTATCCAAGGATGCACCGGACAAGGTTTGAAATTAGAAGTCTGATCAATATTAATGAATTATGAATAAGAAAACAGTTATAGATACATAATATTCAATATAAATAACGATTCATATAGGGTTGGTGGAAAGGAGAATTAAGAGGACAAGTGGGTCTATTTCCTGACAATTTTGTCGAGATAATTGGTGTGAAGAACGAATCCCAAGAACAAGAATCCCAGTGGCACGAAATAACATTACTTAGCGCAAAGTCAAGTGCTAGACATTCCCATCAAGTAAAGAAAATGGAGAAAGCACACGTTAGAAAAAGTCTAGACACCAGGAATGCACATTCGAGTAATATATCAGGTAAGATATAACTGGTCTTTGTATCAGAGTGACATTTCTATGCCATATAATGTACGTAACGCGCGATATAATTTCGTGTTCCATCAGATCATTTCCCCGCCATAGATACTACCACTAAAAAGAGCCTATCGACATCGTCGTCCACCTCCGTGTCAACGTCGTCGTCGTTGACGGCTACCGGAAGCGGAGGGGGTGATAAGAAAGCTGCTGGCAGCCATTCGATTATATCAAGCCTGAAGCGTTTCGTGAGTGACGTAGGGAATAACGGTATTGGCAACACGACGAGTGCCACTTCCGAATGTCGTGAGGAATTGGATGGCGTAGAGCGAGGGGAGGGTGCACCGCTCTCGCATTTGACAGCTTCTCGCGCTAAAGCACCTCGGCGACGTCCGCCTTCATCGCAACATCTGCGCCATCATGCCGCTGGATCCATTAGTGTAAACGCAGTCTTGACGCTTCCTTCTGTTCCCAGCACTTTTTTGGTACTATAAAAAAATAATATTAATTATATTTACCAACTTGTACAAAAATATCAACTTTAATTATCTTTATAATTTGTAGGAGGATAATTTGTCTAATGGACGCACTGAAACAACGCTGGAGCAAATACCGGATGAAGAAACGGACGGGCTTGTGGTGAAAGCTAGGAGAAAAGCACCATGGGTAAAGTATCATTAGTTGAGATAAAATAAAAAAAAAAGGATCATTACATGAGATCGCTGTTTCAGTCTTATTATTATTAATACTGTTATTAACGTTATGTATTTATCTCAGGTTGAGGAATTGAAAATGAATCAAATGGAAAGGCGAAAAACCGCCGCAGATCGAGTCGATAAGACGGAAGTCAAAAAGGAACGAAACTTCTCACGGTATGTATCGACTTTTTAGTGAAATTTGTCATTTATTCCACGAATATGCGATATATATGACAAGTATCGTTTTATTGTTCAACAGATTAATGACGCAAGGAAATGTCGCGGATTCCGTTAACAAACCCGATATCGATAATGATGATAACAAACAGAAAGATAAAAGTCCTAGAGCCGATACAAGCCCGCATGCTGACCACAGTCCTGGCACATCATCCGGACAACCGGCCTACGTTCCATACGCTCTCTACAGCAAGCTATTGGAAAGGGTAAATATTAAGATCCATAGATTATTAAATTTTCATACCGGTACATTGCATGCACGCGAGAACACGCGATATTAATTTAAATTGCTTCAACAAGGTCGCCGCGTTAGAGGAGAAACAAGCAGTATTGCAGGTGACGGTAGGGCAGCTCTCCGAACAGCTCGTACCTCTTCTCGCAAACGCGTCGATAAACAGCAAAGTATAAGAGGCGAAAGAAAGGAAAATCGATAATATATTTATCTGCCCATATTATCACTGTGTTGTTTTCTCATTATGCATTAATGAGAAGGAGACTAATACTGCTATACTAGCGTAACTTTTATTGCTCCATTACTGTTGTTATATATATTATATATATTTATTCATTTGGTAGCATTCGTTTATTGTTTGCTCCGTCGATGCAGTATTCATGAGGACCGGTTGAAAAACGCAACATTCCACACGACATTCTTCGCTTGTAAAAGTATTTCTCTTTAACCTGACTTTCAATAATTTAACAGATCTCATTATAACTGCCGGAATTTATCGCTATCTTGATAATTATAACTGTTTTATAAATGCCTACAAAGCATTCGCAAGCCCCATATAACAGTTACTTTCCTTGTAAATTCACGACACATATCAAACAATCTATAATGTATATTTGCACATACTCTAGATTCTTATGACGTGAACCTTTTCCATATTATCAGTAGCATGAAAAAACTTGCGACATAAAGTCTCTAAAAAAAGGAAAAAAAGCGCAAGTGTCCTTCCAAGTGTCCATGTTTTTCCTTTGCCAATTTGCATTTTATTCATTGTTTTATGTTATGTATTTTTATGCATTTATTGTCAGTAACTTAATATAATGTCTCGCAAACGTATATACTTTAATTGCATATGTGTTGAGATATTTATAATTGTAATAAATATCATGAAAAAAAATTTTATATTAGGTGAAATATTTCTCTATAAATTAATTTTATTGATATAATTGGACACTAATAAACGTAGGTTACTGTTATCAATCTCCTTGCTTGAAAAAATAATGTGCTGTAAAGATATACCATTTCAAATGCAAACTCTTATTTCGCGTGTGATCCGTCCCCGAACGTCAAAAGGACATCAATGTGTAATTAGTCACATAAGTTATCTTGATTTAGGCGATAATATTTGAATGTATACATTTTTCATAATCAAATTTGTACATTAAATAGTTTATAAATTTTTGTGCTTTTTGTTTTTCTTTTTTTAAAAAAGGTACTAAATTATTCTAATATCGGTCTACAATCTATCGGCGTTTATTATTTATAGCACGTACGTTTATCAATAAGCGTATATTATATTTGTATATCGCAAAACGCGTCGCAAGAATAACTCCATAAAGTTAACCAATTGTAATTAACGAAATGCGGTGGCTCTTCGAATGGTTTTGGTATCTCTTCGTAAGATAAACTATCGTTTTAATTTGTAATATAATATTATATTTGTGACTTGTAGCATAATATTAAATTTAATTCGTTTTAATATGAACTCAAGGGCAACTCTCTTAAAAGGCATCTAACACTGACTATACTTATGGAAAAAAAGTTCAAGGTAAACGAGACCACACGACAGATTCGTACTCTATAACGCAATCACATCTTTTATACTTTTATATTTCGCTGCACATACACACACACACAGATCAGGTCGTTTGAACGCAATATTTCTTATGTGAATATATGTTCACTGAGACACTATGTAAAATTTCGGTTTGCAAACGCGACACCATCATGCACATTCTTGCAGATATAACGCGTGACAATAATAGTTATTAAGCGAGTTGAACGAATCTTTGCTACTTTTTTTTTGTAATTACATCTTGAATATAAATTTATTAATAATTAAGAGATCCACCGTAGAGGCCTCGATTAAAATATTTGGTTGTATCTTATGCCTTTGAGGGATATTTTTTAAAACAAACAATTGTTTGTATAAATATTAATTTTGATCATCATTCGCCTCTCTTAGGAACATCGTCTTCCTTCATAAATAATAAACTCTTGCGATTGAATCATTGCAAATGCAATTGGTCGCTATTGGCGATCGTGTAAACATTTCTAATTTTAATGCGATCATTTTAAAAGAATGATAGAAATATGTGTTAATTAAGTTAGGCTTGTACTTACCTATACATTTTTTTTACGACGCATCTCTTCATTTGCCATCGAATCTTAATTCAGAATTGATTTGAAATGGATGTTTTTGAGAGAGGATCATTAAATGTGAATGTTAATCTGCAAAAAAAATAATGTAAATACAATAATGTTGAGTATTAATTATGCGTGTTGAGTGAGAATATGCGTAACAATTATAACGAAATTTTTATTCTAAAGATACCACGTTCGGAGCATTACCCTAACAAGGCGGATTAACAATTGTATAATCGAGACAGTGTATTTAAATTGCGATACAACTATTTCTTGTACGCTTCTGGTCGCTATTGGCGAATAAATATCGCGAAGACTAATATAATAATGGCAGACTTATATATTTTCAATTGTTGTTGCGCGACATCGAATCTTATCGAGGAGACGAGACATTTTTATATATATCACGCTGCAGCTCTCCTTGATAAGTGTCCTATTGAAAAGCGTATCGAGTGAATTATGTATGTACGTCGTTGCGGGACAGCAACAGCTGTTAGCTACATAGTCGTTAAGTGATAGGTATCGCGCTGTAGAAAGCATGATCTAGAATGTAAGGGAATTGGAGTTAACGACTCGAGAGAGCTACGAACCGCATACGATTTTTAATGTTATTAACGTTTAGGCCTACACTCTATGTACATATACGTGTATAAGCAACGACCGAGTGAGAGTTATATATATTTTCCCCTCCTTTATCAACGTGTCAACCAATGCAGCGCATATGTCGGATTAACAATCGTACCTGTAAATAAAGCCATCGGAGTAAATCTCTCTTTTTCTCTGCAAACGCTGGAGTCCTATAATCCTACATTAAATCTCTGTACATATATATTTTTAACGTTTGCCTTCATTTCAATCATCTTATCAAATATCGCTATAAAATCGAATTAATTTAAGTAATAAGTACAAAGGCGAAACGAGAACAGTCCCTTTATACAGGAAAATTAAAATCAGATACCTACTTCCTCTCTCGATTGCTTTACAAAATCTTTGATAAAAGTATGATCTTTTATGCGTAAGTTTATTTTTTTATTATGTACAATTATCACATTTTACGTATAATTGCGTACCTTATTGTGATTATATTCCTTATTGTTATCATGATTTCTGTGATATTGTCGCGATGATCGTTGAGATAATGGCGAAATTTCGCAAATAAACGGCAACGATGCGTAACAGGGCATCACTTTCCAGAAGGGCGGCGATCTTTCGCCAGGCGGGTTCACAAGGGCGACACAGCCCTTGAAGTGCGACGGTTGTCCTTCGCCCCACGCTCGATAATCGAAGCAAGACAAGGACTCGCCTGTGTTGAATTTTATAATGTCTCGCAAACGCGTATACTTTAATTACATATGTGTTGAGATATTTATAATCATAATAAACTTCACAAGAAAAAAATTTATGTTAGATGAAATATTTCTCTACAAATTATTTTATTAATTGGGCACTAATAATTTAGATTACTGTTATCTCCTTGTTTAAAAAAATAATGTACTATAAAGATATAATTTCAAATGCAAACTCTTATTTCGCGTGTAATTCGTTCCCGAACGTCAAAAGAATATCAACGTGCAATTCATACATAAGTTGTCATGATTAAGGCAATAATATTTGACTTATTTTGTATGTCAAAAAAAAATAAAGTTTTATGTATATTTCGGCAAATTTGTATTCGGATTTTTTCTTTTCTTCACGAATATCTATATCGAGCGGCTCGCTAAATGAAATCTGTAAAAAAAAATTGCCATTACCGAATTCGTTCTTCCAGGTTCTCTCCTTATTATCGTTGTTACTGAGACCCACGAAGCTGGGATGATTTTGAGACACGAATTTAGCCAGCCCTTCCGTGCGCTCCTCGCTAATCACGTGAGCGAGAGACGCGTTTCGTTTTTGACAGAAACTTTGTGCCTGCGTGTAATTCAGGTTCTCGGATGAGAATATGAACATTCCCGCTTTGGGGATGCATTCTATCGTAGCGTTCTCTGAAAGTAATTCTCGTTATAGAATGCAAATGTTAAACTTGCGCTTCGGGAGATTAATTTACGGCGGGTCTATATATTTGTTTTTTTACAAAAAATTATTATATAAATTCCGAGAATTTTATATGAGATTGATTGACGGATTAACGTAAGCGGCGATAATTGCAATATTACCAGGCAAAGAGAAAACCGGGTACATGCTGTAATGTCTGTAATTTGTCGCGGGCACGAGAGTAGTCATATTGCGATCTTCGGGGCATTGAAGGGCTTGGCATGTATTTTCTCGCCTTCCTATATGTTGATAAAGAAATAAATAAATAGACAAATGGAGAGAAACGTGTCGTGTAAGAATACACCGGAGAACACACAAATTATAAATCGTGCATCGGATCAATTACATTAATTGAATAAATTACGCTACACTTTACAACGCTGTTACACTTTGCCTAAGTTATTCACATACCGGCACGATTCCTCGTCGAAACGAGATTAAAGGCGAGGGCCTTCTTCGATGCCGCGAATTCCTCGCACTTTTTCACATTAGAAACCACTTCTCGCGATATGATCGGCTGATTCGAGCGCCAATTGGTCTTGATTAAATCGTATCGCGGCAACTCGTGATAATTGATTCCACAGCAATGATCGCAGATAGCTAAATACGCCGCATATATAATTAAAAGAAACGATAGTATGTTAACGCGTGGCATTATGCAAATTAACGAGTTTAGATTATATACAGTTTTTTCGAAGCACTGCAATTCGTAACGCGCGTTCTGAGTTTTTTTTTCCTCATGATGAATATCACATACTTCCCACTTCGGAAATGTACATCACTCGGACAAGGCAATTAATAATTATGCAATTGCGGAAACCGTGGAATTCGTGATTTCACGATAAAAGACAAAATACAATCGAATACCTAATTAATCGTAATTTAATATATCTCGTTGTTTTCTATTTTTTCATAATGTGTTTTCATTTTTTCTCGAATAACCTTCCTCAATTAATTTTTTATACAAATATCTTATATAAATTATACTAATATCAAATATATATATAAAAAAAGAGATTACAGTATGGTAAATGCCTATAATGTTTTATTAAAATATCTATGATAATAGCACACTGTAACAATGACCATCATAGATACATGTATACTATATACACTCTCTTGTGCATGTATCTGTGTCTATAGCACATGTGATTGTATGTAAAATAATTTCACGATGCTCTCATAGCAATGATGCAATTTTCCACATCTCTATCGCTTTTTCTCCTGGATATCCAGCCTTTTGTGGGTGCCGTCGCAGAAGGGCCTGTTTGACGTTTGCTTGCAGTTGCATAGCCAGTACTCTTTGGTCTCCTCAACGACGAAACGTATGGGTCTAAACGGGATTTTGAGAAAAATGTTTTTGTGTGTGCCATCGCACAATGGCTGGCTCTTGCTCTGACCGCAGAGACACCACGAGTAATTTTTGCCGGCCTCGAGACGTATCCTGAACGGCTTCCTGTCGTATATCGCTCCGTTCTTAGATTGAAGATTAGCGCTGTACTTATCTTTGACCAGATTCACGGGTATCGGCGGCTCGTCGGTCTGTGTGGAGAAACGCGAAACCTGGAAGCAGTGAAACAATAAATTTTCACTTTACTTTTTCTCTATTCGTAAGAGAATTGCGAGATCTCGAATTAAATTGTTTATTTTGATCAACCCTTTCGACAGTAATTATTTGTTATTCCGTTTAGGAATGTTGATTCACAGATTAGGTTAGGTTTAAAATCTTATAAAATAGAAGAGCTCGTTCATTTTTTTATAGATCGTGACTTACATTTTCACGGAGGACGCTCGAAAAACGAGCGAGACGCGGCAGTCGATTAAGTATGCTCATTCCGTTAAATTGCCGATCAACGATCGAGCGTGTCAATAAATCGCGATGAAAGCAATGGTCACGTTGGCCGGAGCGCGAAGTACACAATCAGCTGATCGTCAGCGCTGCCAATTTTTACTTTGATCATCTGCGCCATCTCTTTTAACATTAACGAGATATGAAGAGTCACTGTGGTTGATAAATTATCTACAGAGTAAACGCAATGGTCATAGAAGAATGCTGATATTATCGACTGTCATATATGAATGAAAGAGTAAAATATGTTTGCATATATGAATGATTTTTTAGAAATGTCAAAATACTGTCAATTTCTGTATCAAAATACACGATATATTTGTCATCTTTTCTAAACTATTACGTCATATATACGTTTCAGTTTTCTGTCTTGTTTTATGGAATTTATTTGTGTTTTCGAGTGAAGAAAGTTTGATCGCTCTGAGAGCAATTAATGACGTCATAAACTCTTGGGTTATAAGGATTACTTTGATTATTATTAGATTAATCAATGAAATACTTCGAGCAAGCATTTGATATTGATTAATCAGGGCAAAGAATTTTTTGCTTTAAAGCCAAAATAGCATCAAACAGGATGTACTTTATATATTATTAACATTATTTTTTTATTAATTAGATTCAAAACTCATTTTTGGTCGAATACATGTTTATGGCAAACTGAGTTTTAATCTCTCAAAGTGATCAAATATTGCTTCACTCGCGTAAACGCTACATGAAAAAAATATTCATTCGAGGTACACAACGCGCCAATTACTGGCTTGTAAGAATAGTCTTTGATGCAAATCGATCGATTGGAAACGTAGTCGCGTCCCATTCACTTTCGCTAATGAAAGCGAGGAGACATGTTCGAAGTTGTAAGAGGCGCGTAAAGATACCTTTGAAACTTGCACTCCTCAGTTTTATTTCTTTTAAACTGAGTCAATGAAAATATCACTATGCAATGACACAAGATTTCACCGAAGATGAGTATTTCACTGATCTTCAGCAAAAACACTCACACACACTTTGCTCTTCCGCCTTATGACAATAAAATTTCACTGAAAAATCAGTAATAATATGTTTGCAAGATGTAACTTTTAAAGCTCTTTATATATTTATTTTGGATTTCTATTTTTATAGGGAGAGAAGCTCTCATATATAATATATCTGAAATGAAACACATATAATAATTATTGTAATATTTAAATTCAGAATTATATATATATAATTGATTCTTACAATTTTACTGATTAGTAGTTCTGTATTTATAACTTAGACTACTAGTGACTATTCACTGCTTTTCATATATTATAATACATTGATTTCATTTAAAAGAATACATCGGTGATTACGTGATACATAAATAATGCAATTATAAAAATAACTAATTTATTTGGTTAAATGATAATAAAATTAATGCGGATTGCGACGTAAAAGTTGTAACTTTTTATGAACTTTAGCAATAGACAGAGTGAACCAATAAGTCAACTTGTTACACGCACAATTTCTCATAAGGAAAATACGTAAAGAAAATATATAATTAAATAGATTAAATGAGAAAGATATATCACTGATATAATCGTGTGTGAATACGCGGAGAGGAACGACATGCCTTATGCAGTAGAACAAAGGATGCAGGAGAGAAGCTTGTATTTTGCGAATGCATCGTGGGATGCATTTGCGAGGGTAATTGACCGTTCACACGTGAAGACGTAAGTGGAGCAAACGGCGGAGTTATTCGTTCCTTCGAGATTCGCGTGCTTATCAACTAGAAAGCCGATAATGCGTGTAACAAGCGGTGTGTGCATTGAAAATACGTCGCTTTCCGCGTGATTTATTTGTTCCGTTAAAAAAATTATTCGCGCGATTTTTTTCCTGTCATTATCAATTGTGACAGCAAATTTTTTATTTAAATTACCTGCGAGATTAATTATTATATAATTAAATATTCAATAATAAAAGAGCTTTCAATCATTTTTTTTTTTTTATTAATAAACGGTCTTAAAATTCGTTGGGAATGCGAAAAAAAATTTCTTTTATAAAGATGTATATGTGTACATTGTATGTGTGTGTGTGTTACATATATATATAACGGATTTAAAAATAATATTTTTTATTATCGTTAAGACTTCCTCTTTCGATCATCTTCTCGATTGTCTTTACCGCAATTATTTTTATTATATAGCGCGATTAATAGCTTTGCCGCAACAAAACGAGCAACATAAGGAGCATATCGAGCGTATCGAGGCTCTTCTCAAAGATCGCTTAATCCTATTTGGGACCTACTTTTAAAACGCGCGGGAGAGAAAGTAAGAGGAGTTGCTGATGGAGTGACGGCGGTCGCGTGCTTGAGAAAGTAAAGTCCCTTTCGCGCATAGAGAGATGTACACACTTGCGTGTATGTACTTGTACCGATATACGCGTACGTCGTGCATGTTCGCCAAACCGATCTATATAGGTCGCGAGAGGAAGTTGCGGTGTGATTAGTGATGTTCAAAGAATTTTACATCGTGATTATATTTTCGCGAGTAATTTTACATTTTTTCATACTTCCAGCAATATTTTTGTATCAAATTATATAATATGTAGTACAAAAAAATAAATAAAAATAAAATAGAAATAAAATATTAAATTTAATCAATAGCAAAATTAAAAATAATTCGATTAATAGATATTAGATTAAAATTAATTCACGTTAATAATTGATTCAATATCATAAATATAATTTCACGCAGCGTTACATACATTCTCAGTGTTGTGTGTAATATTTTACAAAGTTCCCAGCATGTAATGCATCGTTTGTTATTTTTCAAAACACGCCTTGTAAATTATTGGAGCAAGTATGAATAAGAATTTGCTTTTATGATTGCACATTTTCTATTTACAAGAAAGATTACAAACAGATTTTCTGATTTGCACCGCTCTAATTAACGTCACTTGTATGTCTTGCACGTATTTGCGGCTAACTGCTTAAGAATACTTTACGATTTCTGTAATAAGGAAGATTTTCATTTCATAAATTTGATCTTTTGAAAATGTCTAACTATACTTAAGACAAAAATCAAGCATGATATAAGGTTGTGATTTTTTTTTACCTCTTTTTTTCACGTTTTGGTGATGAAATTTGTCATGTTTATTATTTATTCGAAAAATGGTTCCAATTAAATGATTGTTTGTTTTTTTAATATAATAAAATGTTAAAAATCTTTATTAATCATTAATTAATAACAAAGTTGTGATGAGTATGAATAATAAATTTAAAAACGTGACAAATATATTTTATATGAAACAAAAATCTTATGAGAGTCTTATCTAAGAGTCTTATCCAAGAGTATTATCCAAGAGTCTTATCCAAAAGTCTTATTTAAGAATCTTATCCAAGAGCCTTATCTAAATCATAATATTCAATATATGTTTAATCATTATTATATAAATTCCATATTAACATTACACTTAACACAATATTTATCATCTACAACACAGATGGCTATGACGCGTAACAAGAGTCAAGCATATGTAACTATACGTAAGCGAGATAACTTGATAACAATAAGAGATCATATGTCATATGCCAATTTTGGACAACGTATCACAGATTTATTAAACATATGTTAATACATATTTATTAATACTCCTTTATCGCTTAGTACTTCCTCGCACGATACGTCATAACTAGTGACGTGATTGCAATTGCGGGACGTCAGTTCCTTGTTCATTGCTTTTTCTGCGACATCGTAACACACTTCCGGTGAATATCATCCCGATATGCACGATAGTCATCGCATTCCGCGTTGGTATTTATAATATCTATTCACGTCACAGTAATTGCGTGGATACGCATACGCGTCTCATATTATGCGTACGCAAAAGACTGTGCAATGCAACGCCGCTGTCTAATTGCATCTTGGGCTTCCACAAAATTACGCAATAATACGCGTCGCATGACCCCATTTCATTTTTTTTGCGGTGTTAATATTTCCATATTAATTCACAAATTTGCATATGCGTTATATAGGGAAAAAAGCAACGACTGACGACTTGCTTAGAATTTCTGTTGTGAATTGCGTGCGAACGATCTGTCATAATTAATTGCACACACATACACACAGTTTGCAAAATAATATCTGAAACATTTATAAAGCGAGAGTAGTTTATTTTAATTCTAGTTTTAATTGAGAAAGAGAGAGTTTAAAGGAATAAATAAAAATTGTAACGACATTTTAAAATAGCAGTTCGCTCACTATGTTAAATGTTCTAAACAAGTTGTAGAAATAAAGATTACTTATCGAGAGCGGATTTTATAGAGAGTGATATTTAAAGAAGAGAAGAAGAAACTCTTGGACTTCCGGCCACGGGGGATTTAATTTCGCGAAGCCGAGCCGCGATGGATACGCGCGGACTTTCGAAGTTCACGGAGAAAGTTACACCTGGTTGACTCTAGGCGGGGGGAGGTTGCTAGAATACTCGTCTAGACGAGAATAAAAGAAACATCGATGATCTCGCGATCTCGCGTTCTCCGATTTCGACCCAGTTCTTGCGCGCCTTGTCGCGCATTCTTACACCGCGAGTCGCTCTCTACGAGAGGATCTCGTCGGGGAACACTTTCGATCTTAATTGAGCATCGATCTTTCTTTCTAATGGGTGCAATCGGCAGCTGTTAACAAGCCACATTAATCGTTAGCCACGTCGTAAAAGCACGAGTGCACGAAAAGTTTCGTATTTTCGACAACACTAAAAATTAATTGAGATACCTGATATTATAATCATAAAGAAATTGAATGGGTTAAGAGTTTGGAATAAAACTTCTTATTAAAAGTATAAGAGAAACTTAAGTTTGGAAAAAAATTTCTACTTGAAATTATAAAAGAAACTCGTCATTTCTGTGATCGTTGAGATTCCATATTTAATAATTCCTCCTGTTATATTCTCACTGATGCGTTTTAAATTTGCTGTAGCCAATCAGATGGTTTATGTAAAGAGATAGTTCGTATAACAGGATTTACAATCGATAAGTCCGGCTCAAAGGTGTCAAAGCGGAGAAAGGCGTTAATCGTACATCGAACATGACGCATGTGACGTCGCCTACTTTCGTTT